CCTTATCCCTGTTGCCATGTTTCGAGACCCCTTCCGCAAAGATCCCAACAAACTGGTGTTCTGTGAAGTTTTCAAGTATAACCGGAAGCCTGCAGGTACGTACGGGTTGGGTAAAGGATCCCAGCCCCATCCGTGTGTTCGATGAAGGAGAAATATTCTGAAATTAGTATTGGAAGGCTAGCCTGTCGTAGCAGTGTCAGGACTGAAGGATTGGTCATCTGTCTGTCAATGAACTGAAACATGAATGTCTTGGTTGACTGAAATGATCGTGGCCTGGAGGTTTGCAGTAGCTGCGCTGTTGCCTATGTCCAATTCTCAGCCAGTTAGCTACTTAAACCCAAAAGGACTCCTGTGACATCTCCTGCCATCCTGCCCACTGAAATTTAGTGGTGCTGGACCTTTGTTGGCTTTGTTTCAAAAAGGTGTATTGTTTTAAAGGTCCTGGCCTCCGAAGCCAAAGAGATAGTCAAGGATTTCCTGACTCTGCTTGCCCCGTAGCTCAGATGGGTCACTTAAGCTAATGCTTGCCAGCTTTGTTTTCTTGTCTGTAGAAGTGAAAACTTCTAATCTTACATCAGGGTTGTTACAGACTCAGGCTTTCTTTTGAAGGCTTTACTAGCTTGGAAATTGTTTCTAGCTGAGTTCATCTCACTTGTTTTCCATACCAGTTACTGTTATATAACTTAACATTTAAACTCACCAGGAACGTAAGCCTCCTAATGGACAAATTATTCTCACATCTCAGTAAAAATTGAGATGTGGCTGTAAGTGCCTAGAAACTAGGGACTAAGTTTGACAGCCAGAAGCAGCTGCCTTGTGAACAGAGGGTAGAAGTGCCTGCATGTGGCACTTGGGAGGTGGCCAATGTGCCGATAAGGTGAACACTTGCTACTTGCTCTGTTCAGAATCAGCTCCCACGTGACCTGGTTGTAACAGAGTTTAATTATAACTGAAGTCTTTCAGAGAGCCTCTCTGTAATGTACGGTTACATTATAGCATCTGCCATGTCCCTTAGGGCTGGGACAGAGTTTTGTCCTGAGTCAGGTCAGTTGTGTGAAGACTGTTTTCTGATCACCCACACTGAGTGCTGTGTCCCTCTACAAGGCTAATGGCATATTTGTTGACTCTTTGTAGAGACCAATTTAAGACATACCTGTAGACGGATAATGGACATGGTATGCAACCAGCACCCCTGGTTCGGAATGGAGCAGGAGTATACTCTGATGG